CTGCTTCATCTCCCCTAGAGGAGAGACCCACCTGTAGGTGGTTTCCTTCTGCAGGCATGGGTCTTTAAAACTGGATACCTCACATGAAAATGAGGCATCTTGAACTGAGACTGGCCTCTGTTAATTACCAACCACCCGATGCTTCAGTTTTGCTTTGCAGAAAAGCTTATGGTGTGGTTTGAAGTCATTATAACTCCTGAGGAAAAAAGCTTACAGTGTGGTTTGAAGTCCTTATAACTCCTGAGGAAAAACCTGAAAATCCATGTATTATATAGGAAAAATAGCATGGTGTCCTGGCATCACACTCCCACCATCACTGTTTTAATGGTACGTATTTAGCTGAATCCTTCATGGCATCACTTGCCGCAGCAACCAGAGAGAGAGGTTTCCTTTCATTCTGATTTCCTTGACTTTCAAGTGCTGCTGCATATTTCAAATAGCCCAAGTTTTGCTATGATAGACTGTGGATGTTCCTGTCCTTCGATCTTCAAGACAGTTTGCTTTAACATGTTTTAGGAGCAAGAACTGTGAAACTTTGGGTCAGGAAGGGGCTGACTCTGGAAAGAACTTATGTGGGAACACAAGGCTGTCCCTGGGTATAGGGCATGACATGGGGCTGCTGTCAGGTATCTGGGAGAGGAGGAGGAGCAAGAACCTATAGAAACCCATCACTCCTAGAGACCCTACCACCTGGCCACTGTGTGGAGCCCAACCTCCACAGACCCTTTCTGTGTCTCCACAGAGTGACAGGTTGGTTATACACCCCTCATGGGGACTCAGCTATTATGCAATATAATGAGCAATAGTTTTGCAGTTTTAAAAATACAACCTCCATTTCTTTGTCTTCTATTTTAGGAGGATCAGAGTTGGGTTTTATATTCCATTGCTAAAGCTTTCCTTAGTCAAGTTGACTTCTATTCATAAACTAAAAGTAAAGTCCTCCGCCCTCTTGGTTTGGTATCTGTTCTTTATTCCTAGTGCTCTTTGTGTGTGTGTTTTCTTTTTTTTTTTTTTTTAATCATCAATTTTTTTCTTCAGGGTGGAGGGTTTCCTTGGTGATATACCCTTCCCTCCAGGTCCAGTGTTTGCATTGGCCTGGACATTTTGTTCCTCTCAGGCACACACTCTGTGCTTGAAAGAGACTGTGACATCACCTCCTCCTTCTCGAAAGTATGCATGTGTATGTTTTTTAGTTTACTGTTGGTGACGGTAACTCTGCCATCATTGCTGATCTCTCTGTACCTTCTGCCACATGCAGCCAAACTGGAAAAAGGGTCCTGGGCTCTTTCAGAAGGCACCAGTGTGCAGTGAACACTAAATACGTGTATTTGGGACGTGAAGTGACACTGCTAGGGTCGGGCTGTTGGGCTTCCTCTCTCTGCGAAGTTCCCAGCGGAGAACGGGGAGGTGGTGGTGCCTTCTAAAGTGGCCCTGCCTCCTCTGTCCATGCAAGCTGCCCCATACAAACACAGATCGGCAGACATACCACAGCCAGCCCTCAGCTCCTCATCGCCACTGTAGCTGTCTTGTTTGAGTCTTCACTGGAGTCTCCACAACATGAAGAACTCCAGATCTTCCATGGGAATGCTTGTCAGAAACCAAAGCCAGACAGAACAGAGACTAATCCTGCACTCTTACAAGTTTACCTCACCTCATAACAAGGACAGTCATATTGTTTACTTTAGCTCACCCCCCTTTATGTTTTATTTTCAGTCTTTACATACTAACTGTACTGTGGCGAGCACTGCATACGGAAGCCATCTCAAGCTATCCGCCATCTTGGAAACCATTAAGCTTCACTAACTCACTGAGTAAACCGTTTCTCAGAAATCATGTGACCAACTGTTCTCCCCAGAAGTGGTTGGGTTTCTAGGCAACGGGAGAGATCCACCCACATCAATGATTGGTTCATGCTGTTCTATCTCATTTGCATTTCAGGCAACCAATTGGTTCCCACCAGCTGTATATAACTCGCCATTTTTCCTGAATAAACGGAAGTAGACGGAAGAAGACGACTTGATCAGCACCTCGTAGTGTGTGTGTGTGTGTGTGTGTTTGTCCCATCTCTCACTCTCTCCCCTAAGGAACCTGTTCAACTGTCCCACGGGCCGGGACACTTGGCGCCCGAACAGGGACTTAGGTACGGGGGATCCAGTGAAGAGCTCCCCAGGAAGGCTCCAATGCAGAGCAACCCAGAAAAGCCGTGGCGGAAAACAGACAGGACGGCATAGAATCGTCCAGAAGGGAATGGCAGAGAGTCATTCCGAGAAAGGCTGGAGAAAACTATAGAAGGACGAAGAGAAGACGTCCTGGTAAATATTTACTTAAGTTTTATTTTAAGTACGGGTAATAATGGGACAAAAGGTTAGTCAGCCTAAAATATCTGTTCAGAGCTTAATAGAAGCTCTTGTCGTTATGGTGGTTAAGGGAGAACAGTTGGTCACATGATTTCTGAGAAACGGTTTACTCAGTGAGTTAGTGAAGCTTAATGGTTTCCAAGATGGCAGATAGCTCAAGATGGCTTCTGTATGCAGGGCTCGCCACACTGTACATATGTTTGGGGTCCAATATGACGTTTCAATACATGTATACAATGTAGAATGATCAAATCTGGAAATTATGTATTCACAACCTCAAACATTTATCATTTCTTTGTGAGGAGAGCATTCAAATCCCCCATTTTAGCTATTTTGAAGTATATGACAAATTATTGTTAATTAAAACTCTAGAACTTATTCCTCCTTTTTTTTGAGAGGTTTTTGCTATAGGGTGCATGTGCTTTCCAGAAAGACAGAAAGCAAGAAATCACTCCCCAGGGTGGATGGCCATGCTGCAATCCCTTCTCTTCCATTCTCCTCTTAGGATCTTGGGCACACATGCACACGTACCCGGTGTGAGTTTAAGCCACTGGGTCCAGGACTCAAACCACGGTTGACTACATGGGAGTCCAGCAACATAGCCATTATGCCAACTGCTGGTCCCGAACTTACTCCTCTTATCTAACTGCAATGTTGTACGCATTGACCAATATCTCCCTAAATCCGTCTAGTCTTCTCATCCTCTAGAGATCACTATTCTAATTTCTACTATGAGGTCAACATTTTCAGATTCCATGGATGAATGAGATGATATGTTTGTTTGTTTGTTTGTTTGTTTTCTTTTTCCTTCTGTGCTTGGCTTCTTTCACTTAGCAAAATGTCCTCCAGGTTCACTCATATCGTTGCAAATGACCAGGTTTCATTGTGACATGTTCTTTGTCCATTCGTCCGTTGATGGATCCTTAGGGTAGCTTTTGTATCTTGGCTATTGTGATCTTTCTCATTTGTTAAAGATTGAGTAACTGATTACAGAGTAGTGTGGCTGATTTGTACAAAACTAAATGATTGGTATTTGAGATCTAAATGAGTGCTCCCTATAAGATACTTGTACTCTCTCATCTTGAAACATTTTCTTCCTTGGGAACTGCTCAAAACAGAAGTGATAATACTTCTCCAATAATTGTACTGAAACACCTCTCATGAGTCACAGCCTGCCCAGTATGAGCTGAAGGCTCCTGAAGAATGGGGGCTATGTGAGACTCCTGCCTTCACCCGCCAGGGATCCCACTCAGTATGATACCTTTCAGATTGGGAGTGCTTTAGCAGCTATCTGTTGAACATGAATGGAGGTTATAAAGGTCTTACTTGAGAAAAACACTCTATAGAGTTGTCTTATGCCTGGCAATAAGAAAAAAATATTTTCTCATAAGCCCATCTCCCCAGACAGGATGGAACACAGTCCAAGTGAGAAGTGATAGGAACGCCACCAAGCATGCCTCCAAAGCCTTTGCACTGGATCAGAGCAGTGAAAGGTTCATAACCTTTCTCTTTTCTGCCACCAGTCTCAATTTTGGATGTTAGTGAAATCTTTTAAGTCACCCAGGAAGAATCCACAACATTTTGCAAAGTAACTTCAGGGATCCAGAAGTTAAAACCAATCTGTGATTCCTTAGAAGACTCATGGTTGGCAGTCTGCAAGCTCCTGCATGAGAGAGAAAAGCTGAATGCCATCACTCACTGAGACTGATTCTACAGCGCAAACACACATTCCGGAGTGCCTCTCTTGGGACCTGGAGCTCTCTCCACATGGCTGCGTGCTGGCTCTTACTGATGGTTACTAGGCAGCGGTTGCTAGACAGTGACACCCACACGCTGTCTTCAACATCGAACAACAGACCTAGGTTTCCAATGCTGAATTTGAGAACAGAGTCATTCAAATAGCAGAAAAGTCATGTGAATAGTGACTGAGAACAAGAATTTCTAACTAGGTATCTAAAATAATTTAGGGATGACAAATGCAAGAGAATTGGAAAAAAATTTTAAAAAGAAGAAAAAACAACATAGAACAGAGGGTGAATTTGAAGCTGTTCTCCCCAATCTCTGAAGGAGACATCAAAAGCCACCCAGCTAGAATGTGACTCCTGAACGTGCCAAGGTTTTACCCGCATAAACACTAAGGAGCTGTCTGGGGTGCGAAGTGCACGAGTTTAATGCTTAGGGTGCAGCTTGGTGCCAATGAGATCAATATTATGGATTTGGTACCACACAGACCAGCTCATTATCTCCCCTAACAACAAACGGTTTACTCTACCCAGGATGAAACTGGACAGGCCAGGATAAAACCTTTGGTACTCAGTATAGAAACAAACATGCTGACCGTTTACGACATCTCTTGTAAATAAAGGGGAGAAATACACTCTATCGCTGAGATCCGAAAAGACCCAAGAGAATTCTGACTTGAGTTCCAACTTCTAACACACATAGAATTAGTAAATTTTTACCAATTTTTTTTAATGGTTTTTGCCACAGATTGCATGTGCTCGCAAAAGAGAGATAGTGAGAAAGAGAGAAATTGCCCCCCTCCCCGGACGGGTATGGCCATGCCACAATCCCTTCTCCTCCATTCTCCCCCTAGGATTCTGAGTATGCATGCTCAGCATGAATTTCAAGCCACCAGATCCAAGACTCAAGCCACAGTTGGATACGGGTGAGTCCAGTGCTTTCATCACTGTACCACCTAATAGCCCCTTTTATCATTTTTTTAAAATTATTTTATTCCAGAAGGCATTTATTTATTTACTTGTATTTTGAGACTTTTTTTTTTTTTTTTTTTTTTTGCTACAGGGTGTATGTGCTTGTTGGAGAGACAGACAGAAAGCGAGAAATCACCCCCCAGGGGAAATGGCCATGCTGCAGTCCCTTCTCCTCCATTCTCCCCTTGGGATTTTGGGAATATACGCACACATGACTGGTATGAGTTTCAAGTCTCCGGGTCTGGAACTTGAACCGCGGTTGGGTATATGGGTATCCAGCAAGGTAACCATTACTCCATCTGCTGGTCCCCAAGAGGCATTTTAGAGATAACTGCTCCACATCATTCCTTTCATAGCTCAGAGCTAAAAATAAACCCCATCTTTGAATAGAGAATGAAGGTCCTGTGCTCCATATGACTAACTGCGCACACATCAAGTCAAGAACTATGTGCATCCGATCCCAGGACCTTGTTGGTGTGTTGAGGACCCCCCAACTGGTATCACCCCAAGTCCCAGACTCAGGCATTCAACCACTTCCTGGCCCTCCACACTTGTTCGTCCTGCCGGTACCTCCAAAGGAACATGCCCCTGTGCACTTAAAATGGGTGAATGCTTTTGTGGGTGAATACCATACTACAAAAATCAAAAGCTTAAAAATGTTACATGTCCAACAGAGAACTATCCAGTTCCTTCCTTCTCTGAACCTGCTTGTGGCCCAATAGCTATCTCAGGAGGAAGCGGCTCCCCCTCTCATACTTTCAGCCATACCTCAATCAATCCCAGGAACTGCACGCCACTCAGGGCACTGCCCCTCGCCCCAGCTAGAGCCTCATTGATGTGGCTGTCAGATGCTTTTGAAATATAAAGGAGATGATGCTCTATGTATAAAGAAATCTCATACTAACGGTTTGGGTAGACTTTCTCACAGATTAGAATAACTAACTAGAGGGGCTGTGGTAAGCTTCAAGTATAATCATACAGATAAAGAGCCTGGCTTATAAATTACACATAGTAAGTAGTATTTATTAGTAGTATTTGTTACAGGAGGTGCCGGGAGAGGTGAAATATTCCTGGGCTTTGGGATTGGAAACTTTTTTGAGCTTCAGTTTCCTTATTTGTAAGAAGAAAACAACTGAGCAGGGTGGGAGGGGGGCTGCTGAAATGCTTTCTATTTAACAACCTTACTATATTACACTGCTAAATACTTTCTTCTAAATTTTAACTCAAAACCTAAAAATGCCGTAACTCTTGAACAAAACATGATAAATACAGAAAGAGACCAAAGACAGTTGATGTTTTCTACCACAAAAATTCCCGTTATTTATGATGTTGTTTTGAGGGCTTAGATGGCAGCACAGCAGTAACACCACTGGACCACACAGGAAATTCTGGTGCGTATCCTAAGGCCTCTCTGAACACATCTGGTGTGGATGTATGTGTGTGTGTGTGTGTGTGTGTACGTGTGTGCCCATGATCCAGAGTGGCAGAGGCTGGGGGTAGGTCACAGCATGAGGACCCTGTTAGGACAGCCTATCTGTCTGTCTGTCTGTCTCTCTCATTAGACAAACAAAGGAACAAACTTTAAAATACTGATTTTCTGCTTACCGAGAGGTGCCCACCTGCCTGCCATTTATAGAACAATTTAATCACCTGAAGTATTGACGATGGATGATGCCTCTTTCTAAACACAGTAAGAACGCTAACTCTGCAACATGACTGAAGTGAACAGATGAAAAACCATGACTTTCTGCTAAATCAACAAAGTCTAAGAGTCTTCTGCTGAACAGCCTAGATAGCAGGAAATAAAGTGTAAAGCGGAGAGGAAAATGGGAAAGGAAGAACAGCAGTGCCGGGCGATTCGGCTGTGCGCGCAGGGCAGGGTCCTGGAGCAGCAAGCAGACCAGGCCAACAGCTGTGGCATCCCCAGGGAACTCGCTGGAGATGATCCAGAGTGGCAGAGGCTGGGGGTAGGTCACAGCATGAGGACCCTGTTAGGACAGCCTATCTGTCTGTCTGTCTGTCTCTCTCATTAGACAAACAAAGGAACAAACTTTAAAATACTGATTTTCTGCTTACCGAGAGGTGCCCACCTGCCTGCCATTTATAGAACAATTTAATCACCTGAAGTATTGACGATGGATGATGCCTCTTTCTAAACACAGTAAGAACGCTAACTCTGCAACATGACTGAAGTGAACAGATGAAAAACCATGACTTTCTGCTAAATCAACAAAGTCTAAGAGTCTTCTGCTGAACAGCCTAGATAGCAGGAAATAAAGTGTAAAGCGGAGAGGAAAATGGGAAAGGAAGAACAGCAGTGCCGGGCGATTCGGCTGTGCGCGCAGGGCAGGGTCCTGGAGCAGCAAGCAGACCAGGCCAACAGCTGTGGCATCCCCAGGGAACTCGCTGGAGATGTGACTTCTCAGCTCCCCTATTCCCACTGAACCAGAAAGTCATCAGGTGGAATCCTCTGTGCCAGAGGACTCCAGTGTGGTCTGAGGAACTGTGGCGTAGCAGAGGATGGCAGCAAAAGGCTCTTAGTTGAAAATAGGTCTTTCATGTGACTGATTTTTGTCATAAGCACTGTTTTATCATGCCTTTCACATTGCTAAATAAGAGTTTAGAAAACTTCAATATCAGAATGAGCAGCGGCTTGCAGCACATCTGGATTGAAGCAATGTTTCCCCAGGAGGGAGAAGGGGGGTCCCATCTGGAGAGCCGCACCAAGACAATGCCCAATTAAACTCTTATTGTCGCAATCTGTGAATGATAAATATGGGTGACTAGGCATGTTAATGCTTTCACATCAAAGCGCGAGCATTATTTCAGCATTAATAATTACCTTCATTTTGCTCATCCTTATTCTATGACATAGTTATTAGCAATTGTTTTCTCTATGACCCTAGGCTTTGTTACTGAGTCAGACCACACATGTCATTGACACCAAAAAATTAAGAAATGTCTGAAAGAAATTTCTAGTGTTTGAAAGTCAATATGAGATGTGACAAAATTATGGTGGAATAGGAAGTGTCCAGTTTCAGTCCCCTTCGCAGGAAGACCAGCTAACAAATACTCGCAGGTAAGAACGCCTTGTAAATATCCCAGTGATATAAGAGGCTGAGGCACACCCTTGGGCCTTAGAAACCAAGAAAAATAGAGGTGATACACTGTGACAACAAGAAGGAGAGACCCTGAGAGATGTGAGAGCATAAAGTCACTTTTCCATCAATGCAGAAAAAACACTTGATGAAATTCAGTGTATTTTTATGATTAAACAATCAAAACCAAGCACTATCAAGAAGCTGGTCCTATAGCTCAGCAGTTGAGTACTGTACAGAGGAGCTAGATTGTACATGGCCTCTGAGGTTCAAGTCCAGCCCTAGAACCTTGATATAAACACTGATGTGCAAATACACCCAGAATCCCAATGGAATGAAGAATTGGGGAAATAAAGGATTGTAGTATGATCAGATCTCAAGGGGGGCTGTTTTCTCTCTCTATCTCCCACCCTCCCTCCTTTTTGTCTTTCTTGTATATTCACATTTGCTGTCAGAGAAACGGGACTCTCTTTCTCACAACAAATTGGGTATAGAAGAAATAAAACTCAATACAATGAAGGCCATCTATGGCAAGCCCACAGCTAGTGTCATACTCAGTGGTTAAAAATAGAAAGTTTTTTGGCTAAGATCAGGTAATAAGTAGGGATACCTATTCTTTTTTTTTTTTTGGAGAGATTTTTGCTATAGGGCGCGTGCATTCGCCAGACAGAGAGAGACAGAGAGACAGAAAGCGAGAAATCACCCCCCGGGGGGGATGGTAACGCCACAATCCCTTCTCCTCCATTCTCCTTTCAGGATCTTGGGCACGCACGCACACGCGCCCGATGTGAGTTTTAAGCCACCAGGTCCGGGACGTGAACCGCGGTTGACTACGTGGGAGTCCAGTGACATAGCCGTTACTCTAACTGCTGGTTTCTGGGATACCTATTCTTATCATTTCTATTCAATGCAGAATTGGAAGTCCCAGCCAGAGCAACAATCAACCAACCAATAAATAAAAGGTAAGAAATTGAAAATTAATAAATCAGATTATATTTATTTACAGAGTATACAATCTAATATAGAGAAAATCCTAAATAAGCCATCAGAAAACTATTTGAACTACTAAATTCCATAAAGTTGCAGAATAATAAATCAACAAGTAAAAATTAGGTGCATTTCTGTACATGAACAATAATTTATCTGAAAAAGAAGTAAAACAATTCTATTCATAATAGCACCAAAAATAATAAAATACTTAGGAATGAATGAAACTAAGGAAATAAAAGACTTGTACACTGAAAACTATAAAACGATGAGACCCAGCTACAACAGTGTAGCAGTAATGCAATACTCTCAATGCTGGAAGCCATATACAAGATTGGGAGTCAATTCCCAGGTAGTATTACAGGTAGACCTGTAATACTAGGAACATACACTCATGACTGATCCTGTCTAGCTGATAAATCAGTTAAGGGTCAGGGGGAGTTGTGGCACCCTCTGTTGAGGCTGCCTGTCTTTCTTTACCTCTTAAGAAACAAATCAACTTAAAAATTGATGACTGAGGGCCAGCCAGCATTGTGGTGGTTAAGGTGGCTGGATCCCACATGGCTGACTATGTCGTTCAAGTCCTGGACTCAGAGGCTTGAAGAACACACTGGTCTGTGTGCATGCTTGCCTAAAATCCTGAAAGGAGAAATGGAAGAGAGGGAATTATGCCAAAACCATCCTCCATGGGGAGGAGTGCTTTCTCACTCCCCCCCCCCACAAGTGCACCTTACAGCAAATCTTAAAAAGACTAATGAAAGAAACTGAAGGTAGTGAAATGATATACAACGTTCAGAGATTGGAAGAATATCGTTAAAATGTCTATACTAGCCAAAATGATCTACAAATGCAATGCAACCTCTATTGAAATTCCAATAGCATTTTCCAGAGAAAGAGAATAAACAGTGCTAAAATGCATACGGACCCACAAAATGCTGAACAACCAAACCAATCTTTGAGAATAAAGAACAAAGCCAGAGGCATTATATACTTCATCATTTAAAACTATATTACAAAGCTAAAGTAATCAAAGTAACATGGTACTGGCATAAATATCATACACATAGGCCAATGGAATTAATTGAGGGCCCAGAAATAAGTCCATACATATGTGGCCAACTGATATGTGACAAGGACACCAATAATACAAAATGGAGGAAGGACAGTATCTTCAATAAATGGCATTGGGGTGGGCCAGCAGATAGCATATTGGTTACAGCACTAGACTCCCACGTGGTTGACCACGATCTGAGTCCCAGAACTGGTGACTTGAAACTCACTCTGGGTGCATGTGTGTGTGTGTATGTGTGTGTGTGTGTGTGTATCCAAGATCCTAGGAGGATCCCTATCACTGTCTCTGTCTCTCTTTCTCCCCAGTGAGTGCACACCCCTAATGCAGAAATCTCTTTAAAAAATTAAAAAATACATTGCAATAAAAATAACAGTCATAATAACTGAAATAATTCTTTAAAAAAGGGGGGTGAGCAAGCAGGTGGTATGGCAGTTAAGGTGCTGGACTCCCACATGGCGACCATGGTTTGAATCCCAGACCTGATGACTTGCTTTCTCACTTTCTGTATCTTTCTCTCTCTCTGGTCAAATTAAAATAATAATAATAATGAAAAATGGAATAATTCTTTAAAAAAATAAATAAATGGCATTGGGGAAAATCAACATCCTCAGGCAAAAGAATGAAACTGAACCCTTATTTATACCATATACAAAGGACAATTAAAAAATGAATTAAGGACTTAAACATAAGACCTGAAACTGAAGACCACTAGAAAAAAAGCATAAGGAAAAAGCTCACTGACATCGGTCTTGGAAATAATTTTTTGGGTATGATACCAAAGCATAGGTAACAAAAGCAAAAACAGGCAAGTGCATAGCAAAGCAATCAAACAATAAAATGAAAAGGCAACCTATAGAAAAGAACTGAACATTTACAAATTATATAAGTGGTTAATATCTAAAATACTTCAGAAACTTCATGTAGCTGTTGACATCTTTCTTTCACGTTGTGACATTCACAGATAAGTACTACTTTTATGGGAAACTGAAGAAATGATAAAATGGCTGACTCAGCAGCAGGAGCAAGTTAGCAGAGAGCTAAGCCTATAACTAACATCTACAAATAATAACACTTTCTATATGTCAACTCAGTGCATACTCAAGAGATATGGGCACTGAACTCCTAATCTATGTCATGGTAAATGCAGAGCAGAAATCAGAACTGGAAACGATAAATTTCCAAATGACCAGAATGTTCTATTGTAAACCTAAAAGAGGTGTGGAAACAAGTAGAAGATATTCAAAGATTTTAGCAACCTATTTATCCATATAAGTCTTTGTGTATCAGACAGCATAAAATAAAAATTCTAAAGACTATTAACCCACAAATTTATCATTGGTAACTTTAAGGTTGAGGAATTAGAACTCAGTGACATCAGAGCTTATGCCAGCCCAACAACTTGCAAGAACATTATAAAAGTATCACTCACTTGGCTTCACATTAGCAACCACTGCCAGGCTTTCAGGTGGGTGTACAGCTTGGTACCGGCTATGTTCTCCTGCACCTTGGTTATTGCCATATTCTATTACTTCCACATGTCCAAGAGGAACACTCCACTTCAATAAGTACCTTTGGCTTGTTGATACAATAGAATTGTTTTCATGCGAGGTACTGAAACAATGAGAAGATTGTTAGTTTATAAATAATCATATGATACTGAGTTACGATAACTCACATCCCTTAGATTCTCAGTTGTTCAATCACCGTACCTGACTTACTTAAGAGTAGTTACCATTTTTGCTTCCATAATGAGGCTCCCAATTACATGAGAGAGTAGAACTCTTTGCACTGTCTAACCCAGAAAACACAAGAACTGTGAAATGACATATTTCTAAAGAAGCTCTAAGGTTTTCCATAAAAGCTTAAAAGGAAGAAGCTGCATACTTACTGATGACTATCTGAGCAAGCATGCTCAGGTATTCTGGAGAATCTTGTTAACAGGAAAAATTTCCTATGTAGATAGAGAGATTCTCTAATTGTTTCATATGAATTAAAATTCTTCCTTTATTCTCAGATGTTACAGCACAATCATTTTAATAGAATTAAATCACACCATTATACTCTATGATTTAAGTATTTATTGTAAAAATATAAATTAAATAAAAAACAAAAAGCATAACCTATGAGATATTTTCTTCTATAACAATATGGGTCATATCATATATACAGAGGAACACATAAAACACACACGTACAGCCTGGCAGAAAATGCTGATGCAAACATGGGTGTAGCCAATACTCAGGTCTAGGCTGCATGATTGCAAGTACCCCTAGAGTCCTCCCCTACCATAGGAAAAAAAAAAAAAAAAAAAAAAAAAAAAAAAAAAAAAAAAAAAAAAAAAAAAAAAAAAAAAAAAACCCTTCCAGAAGCAACTATTATTCTTACTTCTGGTGACAATTTTTGCTTTTCTTCAAGTTATATACTTAAAAATAAAATGTGGAAGAGAATAACCAAAATGCCAATTGGTATGCTTTAAAATGAAATATTTGATTTGATAAGAGCCAATCCACACCCAACCTTGGCAACTTGCCTCAGACTCAAGAGAATCTCACTATTACACCCCTGGTCCATAATGAAAGAGAAAGGAAAGGAGGTACAATTCAGACACAATAACAAAGCAGGTTGTGTGTGTTCTATGCCTTAATTTTTATAAAGACAGAGATGTGCATGAATTCTTACCAAAATTTCTACTCCTCCTCTTTGAGTCTAGTTTCCCTTCCCACATATAAAGGAAGTTTGCAATCTTGATGTCCACAGAGCCTGTGGAAGGGTTTGGGAACTACTGGAACATGTTAGTCTAACAAAGCAGGCCCTCATCTCAGCACCTCCGGGCAGTGTTGCATTATGTTATGGAACACAGCTGAATTCCTTTTGAAGTGTCAATTTCTGTTCATATTGAAAGAGAGTCATTTCTGTGGGCCTGAGTTTTAAAATAAGATAAAACTTCAGAAGAGCTAAATTTGCTCCATCATCCTTCCCCGGTGGTCCTTCAGTTCGCCAGTCACTGCAGCACTTACGGGACAGCGGCAGCCTCCCACCACACTTAGACAAATACTGACCACGAGTGAGGGAAAGACACAAGAGACAGCCAGTTGCACAGGACCCTGCTGTTTGTCTCTCCCCTTACGGTCTCAGGCAGGCAGGGCAGCGTTCCATCCCAGCGCCCAGGCGAGGCCTCTGGGAAAGACTCAGCTGCTCCTGCAGGCCAGCCCAGTAACAGTGACAAGCGTTACATGAAAAGGGGGAATTTCTTGGACACTGAATTTGGAAACTGCTTTATTAAATAAATGTAAATTAAATAAATGTCTCCATATTGCAGGAAGCACCTCATAACATAACACTACAGAAATAGAAGCACAATTGCCTATGAGGGACAAAAGGCTAAGGGTTCCTCATACTCATTATTCTAAGGATCTCTTTGGAATGGCCCAAGTTTGAGGTATCTCCAATCACAGCTTTTCATAACCTCAGTTTGTCAGCTCTACTTCCAAAGCAGGCATGTCACTGGCTTGGCAGGAATGTCACTGGCTTGTTCTTCCTACCTGTGGGAAACCATGACAGACAAAAACAAACAGCGCACACACACAGCTGTATCCAGGGATTGGCACGTGGCAATGCAAATTCAATGATAAAGGGTGAACTGTTGGTAGGAACCAAATGATCAAGATGCTTTATAAATAAAAGAAGGGGGAGGGACCAGCAGTTGGCATACTGGCTATGTCACTTGACTCCCATGTACTCGACCGTGGTTAGAGTCCCAGACCTGGTGGCTTAAACTCACGCCAGGCACGTGTGCGTGTGTGCCCAAGATCCTGAGAGGAGAATGGATGGAGGAGAAGGGATTGGGGGGGGGCAAAAACCTCTCAAAAAAAAAAAAAAAAAAAGGGAAGGGTGATCATCAAAACTGGCTTATTTTTCAGACTTACTCTGTAACTGTCACAAAATATGTGAGGATGAGGAACAGCAATAAAAACTGGCAAACAGGCAATTGTGTTCCAGGTAAGGTGCAAGTGTTTTTGTTTGTTGTTTTGGTGCTAGCAATTTTAATGGATGTTTTCAACTTAAAGCCACAAGAACCTTGTAGAATTGTTGTCATCATGATTATCATTATTTCTATTTTCATTTCTAGACTACAGATGAGGAAACTTACAGAAAGGGGTATATTTTCAAAGTTAGGAGAAGGTGGGGCTGGAATCAAACCTAATGATTCCAGCTCTACAGTGTGGGCTCTCAAATATTCATCAAATTACCTACCTGCCTTGGATGTCACAAGAGCAGTAAAGAGAGTGGGTGGATCCATTTGGTAGTTGGTCAATGAGGATGTCAATCATGCAAAAATGTGTCCTGTCTAGTAGTGTGCTCATAAGTGGTTAACAGCTAGTTCTCACTGGGAGGAAGGATCCTGATTTTTTTTCTCTTGGCCAGTTTCCATGGTGTAAATGCTCCTGTTGGGGATAATTTCAAACTACCTGTGCCTTGAGCAGCCAGATCTCAAAAACCCTGAAAATTTAACAACTGACTCACACAAATGATTGTGAGCGGAACCACATTAGCTTGTATGCACCAAGATCATGACATTCACATCAATCCCCTTGCAACCTGCCTGTGTTTGAAGCCCTTTAACTGCTCTAACATGTTCAACTTACTGCAACACCCTACAGTTGAACGATAATTCTTATGCAAGATTATGGTAAGTCCGAGAACTGATAAAGTGATAATCATTGTTTTGATTTACTCTAAATAGGGATATACTCAATTTAATGATATTAAAAAAATGATCAAAAACAGATTCATAGAAAAATGGCCAAAAAGAAAGAATCTGAATAAAACAAAGAACTGCATGATGATTCAGGAAGATTATAAAGAAACCCAATTCAGTTTCTTGCTCCAATGTCAGCCCTGCTTATGGGACAAATACAGCAATATGCACTTAATTTCTGTCTGCAGAGACTTGGTAAGTGATAATCTATCCATTTAAAAATAAGCTTGTTTCTCCTAAGGTTTCCCTTATCACGCACTAACTTTTGGTACCTAGATCTGTAGTCATTCATTTTTAGACACATGTAACATGTAACTGTAAGACTCACAGAGTGAAAGAGACGTGCTCTTACCGTGAACTGACCGTAGCACACATGAGCACGTCATTTAACATGAAGAGTCGACGTTCTTTGGTTTTCATAATTTCTCCTCTGTCATTATAAACTGTTTCTATCATATCATCGGATCGAATGAGGTATCGATTTCCACTGCTGAGAAGCTGAATATTCAAAATAACACTTGACATAGTTATCTCAACTAAGTTTATCGGGAAGAAGGATGACAAAGGTCTTGTAAAATCTGAATGTATAGCATAAAAATGTTATAGATTGTTTTCCTTTAAAGAGAATTCATGAACCCCCACTCCCACCTCATTTATGGATTCTATTAGAGTTTAGAAAGTGACTTTTTAAATAATTACATATTTTACAGACATTATATAGTTACACTAAAGAGCAAAGGAAAGCTACTTTTCCACTGTAAATAAAATTTCTATAGCTAAAATCTGCTAAATTCAGCAATGGAGGACTTCCTTTCTCTTGACTATTATTCAACGTGACTTCTCTGAATGTAAGCATGTTTGCTTCATTTCTTATAGACTTTTGCTCCACAGTTAACCATCTGCAATTTACATATAACACGGAGCAGAAAGAGTTGCCCCTACTCTTTTTTGAGGGTTGGCACTGAATCCACTATGGATCTAATGAATCTATAAGCCCCTTTCCTAATAAAATGCACACACTGTTAAGGTCTTGCAATACAATTATCGGCACTCACAATCTGCCTGAAGCTCTTTATCCACCCCCAGTTAAGATCTCTGGGCCAAGAGAATTATCCCAGTGTTCCAAAATATTAGTAACAAATGGCTGAAATAATGATAGCTCATTAGTACAAAGCAAAAACAACTTCAGCACAGAGTTAAAAGAAAAAAGTCTCTCTCAACCTTGTTCAGGTATCTTTCATTTATGGCTTTTGCTATTTGTTTAATTTCGCAGCGTTGGTCAGCGTCTCTTTTCCTCTCATTTAATTTCTCTGCTAAGGTTTCGAGTTCTGTCAGCGCCATCTGAAGAGGCAGCCTGTCAGGATGTCCTCTGGATGTATTTTTCAACATATCCTGTTAGTGACAGGGTAGAAGGGTAGGCAGTTACCACCGGCACACATCGAAGTCCAGCAATTACCTGCATCACGCAAACTGACAACTGGGAACAGGGCTACGGCGTCAGTTATTTCTGGGGAAAAACAAAGTAAGCACACTTGTGGAAAGATAATAAACTAAGTGAATCACAATTTGGCTGAACATTTGAATAACTCCCTCTGAACAAACAAAATCAACTTTAAAGATGGCATTGCTGATGAAAAAAATACCATTTTAAAATAAAGGACCCTCTAAATAGGAACGCTCCACAATTACAGAAATATTTTGCCCTCTGTAACATGTTCAATGTCATGACTTGACTGTTTTTCCCAATCTGAGTCAGATGAATGATCCCATGCCTGGATGAATCCAGCTACATGTTCCACATCAGTTTCCCAATATGAAATGTGCACTATTTTGTGGTAGCAACTACTCTAACTCTGGTGTCAATTCCCATAGCAGGATCTATGTGCCTCCCCATACTGATAAAAGAACCAGACTTTAGGGTAGCAAAACTACTCTGTACGATACTACAGCGTTCAATACATGTTATACCTTTGTCCAAAGCCACTGGACGTACAGTACTGAGAGTGAGCCCTAATGTAACAATAGGCTTTGGTAATCAGGACGTGTCAAAGTAGATTTCTCTGCTGTAACAAAAGTACCACCCTGGGCGGGGGGGAGATGTTGATGATTGGAGAGAATACACAATGATGGGGGCCGGAGGTAGGTGAGGCAATCTTAGTATCCTCTCTCAATTTTGCCATGTCTATAAAAAAAAAAAAGATATAGTCTTTGGGGTCAGCAGGTAGTACAGTGATGAAGGCACTGGATTCTCATATGACTGACTGCAGTTCGAGTCCTAGACCTGGCAGCTTGAAACTCATGTTGGGCGTGTGTGCATGTGTGCTGAAAATCCTCAGAGGAGAACAAAGAAGGGATTATGGCATGTTCATTCCCTCTGGGGGGTTATTTCTCACTTTCTCTCTCACTATCTCTCTCCTCTCTGGCAAGTGCATGTGTCCTATGGCAAAAAAACTTAAAATAAAAAAAGATGTAGTCTTTAAAAAAGAAAGGAGCTGAGGCACCTGTTTGGCACTCTCTAAGGTATCAGTTAAGTATGAGGAGGGAGTAGGGAAGAGCCATGGCACAAAGCAGCAATCACCAAAAAAATGACCTGATGCTATCAAATGCAAATAAAACTTTTTTTTTTTTTTGAGAGAGAGATTTTTGCTATAGGACATGTGTGCTTGCCAGAGAGACAGAGAGACAGAAAGTGAGAAATCACCCTCCAGGAGGCTGGCCATGCTGCAATCTCTTCTCCTCCAGTCTTCTCTGGAGTTTTGGGCATGCATGCACATGCACCCAGTATGCGATTTAAGCCACCGGGTCCAGGACTCAAACCATGTGCAAGTCCAGGGTCATAACCATTATGCAATCTGCTGGTCCTGTAACATAAACTTTTAAGAGCAAATGAACCCAGACATAGATAGACAGTAGAAAAATGACAAGAGTCATTTTTTTAAAACTTTGGTTTTATAGAGGACCTTCTTTTACAGCTTGCTTTCACATATGCATGCTGACGGTTGTTGGAGGGACAAGTATGAACTTGAAATGTTCTTTTGGAGAATGAAATGTGGTTCTACAGTTTGTTGTAGCAATTTGCATTGGTACTAGCGGTAATAGAATTCAACAATGTGCTCATTTTTTCTTTTTTTTTTTTTTGAGAGAGGTTTTTCACTATAGGGCGCGTGCGCTCGCCAGACAGAGAGAGACATAGAGACAGAAAGCGAGAAATCACCCCCGAGGGGGGATGGTCACGCCGCAATCCCTTCTCCTCCATTCTCCTCTCGGGATCTTGGGCACGCACGCACACGTGCCCGGCGTGAGTTTTAAGCCACCAGGTCCGGGACACGAACCGCGGTCGACTACGTGGGAGTCCAGCGACACAGCCATTACGCTAACTGCTGGTTCCCTACAATGTGCTCATCTTTTCAAACTGCACAAGTGATCCAGTGTTTTCAGTCTAGATGAATATGAACTATTCTATACATCTGCCTACCTGTGAATTACAACAAATTCTGTCAAGGCAGAAAAGAAAAACCGTGCAGCCAATTCTGGCTCCAACATCATGTTCTGCAGTAACTGGACAGTAAAATCGGGCCCTCCTCGAGTGGGACCACTGAGCGGAGCTGCAGGGCCAGGGGTGCTCTGCCAGGCTGGCAGCTTCCATGAGAAAGCCAGTGAGAGAGGAAAAGAATGTTTCTTGTTATTGCCATTACCAGAAACTGTCACTTACCTTTGTACAAAACAGGAGAGCACAAGACAGTTGGGATAAAGTAAGGCAAAGGTCACACAGCAGATGGATGCTCTGGACCACGATTGGAACCACCAGTTCCAGCGAAGCCAGGGTGAGCAGCTTCACAGCACATGCTGGGGGACAGCTGCAGCTTCCTAACAGTGACAGTAATAAGGTCCAGGGGGACTAGTCAGGACAAGGTGTGGTCAAGACCAAAGAGCAAACAGAAGGAGATGCATGAGGAAGAAGGGTGAATGAGGGCATGGGTCCGTCTCTGCTAACTCTCCACCGCCCACACTAACCCCCCAACAGTAGTAGAAGGCAGCAGGGAGGGAGAGCACTTGCCTACTGTCCTCCAGCCTGTCTCCTGGCTGATTCCAGGTGTTTCCTGAGCACCTTTACCTGGGAGGCAGGGGTCCTCAGGGAATTCCAGGAAAGTTTTCCAGACACAGAGACTGCCTTGTCTCTGACTCTGACTTACAGAAGTAACACAGATACACCCTGCTCCTCTCTAAGAATGTTTCAGCCAGTGGTCCCCATCCTTTTTGTCACCATGGAAGACAGTTTTTTCATGGATGAGGGTAGGGGAGGGTGTCCTATGAAAGCGTACAACTTCATTCCTGGCATGTGCAGTTCACAAGAAGGTTCACGCTCCTATGAGAGCCTAATGCTGTCACTAATCTGACAGGAGGCGGAACTCAGGTGGTCACGCCAGTGATGGGGAGTGGCTGCAAATACAGATGAAGCTTTGCTGTCATCTGCTGCTCACCTCCTGCCATGCAGCCTGGTTCCTAACAGGCCAGGGACTAGTACTGGCCCATGACCCAGTGGCTGGAGATCCCTGGTCCAAGCCACACCACCAATTCATCACACAATCACACATGGCCAAAAGGGGGAGAAAAGGCTCAAGACAGATTTGCCTATAGAAAACTGCTCACACGTGGGCCCTGTTGTCACTTCTGGGCAGCACTACCAGGTCAAATAGAAGACTGATTTTACTTCAGGAGACAAGATAACTGTGCAGAAAAATTCTAAAGAGAATCTCTCAGTGGTACTCAGGTAGGGGTGGGAGGAGAAGCAAAGGAAAGAAAGAGTGAACTATACGAAAACTACTCTGAATAACTGCATGAGACAATGTGAGAGAACACACTACATCTTTTTAAACGGAAGTGTTCGAAATAAGAATTCTTAAGATATTAAACTGAAATTCTAGGCTGGCCTTGTACCCTGGTGGTTAAGGAAGCCAGATCCCACATGGCTGAGAAAAGTTCCAGTTCCAACTCTGAAGACTTGAAAAACATGGCAGCCGTGTGTGTGTGTGTGTGTGTGTGTGTGTGTGTGTTCATGTATGCCTAAAATCCCGATGGGATGGAGAAATGGAGAAAGAAGGGTATGACCACGCCCACCCCATCTTCATTGAGTGTATGTACTTTCTGGCAAAAAAAAACCCAACAAAAAAACCCTGAGTTTAAGAATGTTTATGCTTTCTCAGGGAATATAAGTATTTAGAAGCAAGTGAAAAAAAAATGAAAAGAAAAGAAGAAAGAGAAAAACATAAAGAGATTCTTACAAGAATCAATTTTTAGATTTTTGAGTAATACATAACAGATGGAAATGTATGTTCTCGACAGCCCGTTTCTGCTCTTTCCCAGCTCCATCAGTACCATTTTGGGGTTGTGCACGGCACAGCGCATTTGTAGCCACACAAGCAAGTCAGAATCCCAGCCCGTTTAGAGCTGTGTGTTTCGGGCGAATCATGTTTCCCAAATCATACAACAATAGTAACAGTCTCCTGGGTGGGGCCACTTGAAGGCCGAAAGGAAAGAAAGCACTACACATCCTGGAGGGAGCTATGCAGATAGTGCAATAGGCCGTGATGGGAGTGAGGCCAGAGGCCTTTCTCCACAGCACTGCGTATTTATTTATTTATTTTTAAAGAGGGGTTTTTGCTATGGGGCACATGTGCTCACCAGAAAAAGACAGAGATACAGACCATGAGAAATCACCCCCCAGGGGAAATGGCCACACAGCCTTCCCTTCTCCTCCAGTCTCCTCTCGGGATCTTGGGCAAGCACACATGTGCCCAGCGTGAGTTTAAGCCGCTGGGTCTGGTACTTGAACTGCAGTCGACTACGTGGGAGTCTAGCAGACACAACCATTATGCCATCTACTGGTCCTGACTCCTGCTCCTTTTTGTAGTGCTTCCGATAGCCCTTCCCATCGTTTCTGTCTAAAAAAATATACTTTGGAGAAAACCTGGGCAAATGGTCTGCCGTTTTTTGTTAACATTTAACCGAAAGCTAACAAGCTAGCTGAATGTGAGATCAGATTGAGTGAATTAAACACACTGTTCCAGTGTATAATGAAAACCCAGCCCCCCTCTGTATTCTCGCCACACTGTAAGTACTCACTTCAGACTGGTGAGCAGCAACCCCGAGGATTTACTGACCCAGGGCCAGCCACCATACCTGCAACTGTCTTCACTTTAGAGTTGTGCTACGAAACCGTACAGCACCTTGGGAGACTTAACCAGCCGTAGTTAAAGTGCTGTCTAATGGGCTGCCTGACATCTGTCTTTCTCAGCAAATGCCCAACTCCTTGACGTGAGGAACCCTGTTCTTCAGGCTGATGGCTGCTCCCTAGAAGCTAACAGGGTCTCACATGTACTAGAGCTCAGTCAATAGCTGCACACTGAAGGAATAAAACACATTTTGGGGGCCAGCTCCGTGGCGTGATGGTTAAGGCAGCCAGACCTCACGTGGCTGACGGCTGTCGAAGTCCTGTACCTGGTGGCCTGAGATACACTAGACACGTGTGTGTGCGTGCACACACCCCCAAAACCCCAGAGGCAGGGAGAAATGGAGATGGGACTGCAGCATGATGATGCCCTACAGGGCTGCCTTATCGTCCCCCTCTCTCTGGCGAGTGCACGTACCCTCTAGGAAAAATTTTTAAAATCCCACATTTTTGGAAATTTTAATTTTAGGGATAGAAGGAGCTTTTTACTATGAGTGCTCTAATATGGGACCTGTACATAAACTAGAAAATAACCGTGAGGAAAGAACATGCACCACCTTTGAGTCTGCCCTCGTGAATAGCCAGAGTTGATGTTTTACTATCCTTTTCTATATTTATGACCATTTTTATTTCCAATTATTTACTTCATATATAGGATCACTTCTATTTAGAAGTCTCAAATGAAAAGGGATGTGGAATATTTCCCAAACGCCAGTTCATTTCCAAGAATTACTTCACCAATATATCTTTAATCATTTGCAATAAGCAGGCAAGCCAAGCAAAGTCATCCAATTTAATTACAAAAACAAGCTGAGTAATCACTGAGAAATCCACATGAGAAGAGGCCAGTGTGGCCTCTCCTTTGAGACATCCTTTGTTTGTTTGTTTCTTTCTTTTTCTAAGTTTTTTTGTCATAGGGCGTGTATGGTTTGCTGGAAAGAGACAGAGAGAAATAGAGGGAAAGTGAGAACCCACCCTCACCCCCAGGGGATGGCCACGCTGCAATCCCATCTCCTCCAATCTCCTGGGACTTGGGGCATGCACACACACGCAGCCAGGGTGATTTTCAAGCTGCCTGGTCCGGGACTTGAACTGTGGTTAGCTAAATGAGAATCCAGCTAACTACCATGCCACCTGCTGGCCTAGCAACATTCTTTCTTCCTAACAGCACAGTCTGTGGGATGGCAGAGGGCTTCAGGGTGGATGGGAGTCGACAAATGAACAGGAAGCACACAGTGAACTGGATGTGAGGGAGAGGTCGACCAGTCGCCGTACTGCATACCTGCACTCAGGACAGGCCTACTGCTTTTAACAACAAATGCGCCTAAGTGATAATTATCAGCCAAAAAAGTAGGGTGGGCTGTCTTCATGGTGCAGCAGCAAGGCACTACTCAGGAAGA